CCCCCAAAACCCCAAAACCCCATTATTCTATTTCCATCCCTAACAAAAGGAAAAATTAAAAAAATAATTCAAAATAATGCAGTGCTTTTATATTCTTATTATATAACAATACAATAAATCAAATGAGAAATTTAATACTAATTAACCTATTCTTTCTCTTTTTTGTTACTTTTGTCAAGCCTTAAATAGTAACTCCAAACCGTACAGATAGTTCATTTCTGTGTCTAATTGGAAAAGGAGAGGGTCCTTTGGGAATATATAGTAACCCGCTATAGAATGCAGATTAAACAAAGACCGGCTTTTACTCTTTCTGGTTTTATCTTGAAGAACAAAGGATCAATAGAAATACTCACCAAATCGTGGACTTTAACTTCACTGAATCCAAACTAGAGTTGTAGATGTTCAAGGACAAGGTTAATTGCTTTGTAAGATTTACTAAAGACGGAGGAACTCTAAAAGAGAATGATTGCATTCTAGCTAAGTGGTTCAATGTCATTTTTGGCTTCAATAAAACATCTTCAGTATGGTTCTATAGGTATGACACTTAAGCAGGGACATACATTGACGTTGGCACCAAATATTCTCACAAAGAGATTTTTACAATGATTAATTACCTGGACTACGATAATGGCGACGATGTTTGCTTCGGTATCGGTGAAATATCATTCTGGAGCATCGACTAGACTAAATTCTCAGTAGATGACTTCCATTAGAAGTTTTATAGCATTTCATACAGAGGATATTCAGAAACTAAATCAGAATATTTGGTTGATCTTTATTAACCGAGGGCTGCCAAATCAAACAATACGTATAACTTTGCATATTACAATAGAAGCATGAAGGCCGACTTTTTTGTAAAGTATAGAGTCAAATGGAGAGATGTCTTCAAAACAACAAAGTTTTATTGCTTTCCTGGATTTAGATATGATGCCGCTACTAATAGTTGTGTAGCATGCACATCTCCTTGCAAAGAATGTTCTTATATTAGTTCAACTATTTGCCTTTCTTGCAAGACTGGATTTCTTTTCGTTAATTATCAATGTGTCGTGAATGATTGCTCCAAAGGACAGTATTTTGATCTAGCAGCAGGAAATTGCAAAACTTGCAATGCTCCATGTTCTTCGTGTTAAGGATCTAATAAATGCACTTATTGTTTGCCAACACACAATTACTTAGATGATGGCTCTAACACTTGTCTTGCTGTAGAAAGTGGTTGCCCCGATGGAAGCTTTTTAGATCCTGAAGGCTTCAATGTTTGTAGGAAATGCAGTGAAGGATGCACTCAGTGTGCTAGTTTGACGAGTTGCATGAGTTGCTTATCAGGCTATAATCTTTATGATGGAGAATGCTAGTATATTGATTGCCCCTATGGAAGTTATTATAGTAGCTCAAGCCTAAGTTGTATCGGATGTTCAGATGGCTGTGAAAATTGTGATTCTACTACTTGCTTCCAATGCTCAGCTGGAATGTACTTGAGTGCAGGCGAGTGTATTGAAGAATGTCCGAAAGGTTTTTATGGCAACAATGAGTCTAATTCCTGCATGAAGTGCCAGGATAACTGTCTTAGTTGCTAAACTAACTAATACACTTGTACGTCCTGTGCTGATAAATACTTCTTAAAAGACTCAGCTTGTGTTGATAGATGCCCTATACTCGGTTATTTTGTAGATTTAGAGAATAAGAAATGTGCTTCTTGTGTCTAAGGATGTGATATGTGCCTCGATGGGGAAACATAATGTTCACTCTGTTAAAAAGGAAAATACTTGACTGCCGCAAGAACTTGCGTAGATGAATGTGAAATAAACACTTTCCCTTCAGACACTGGATATTGCTATCCCTGTGATAGTGCTTGTAAAAATTGCTTTGGCTCTTCTAGCACAGCATGCACAGCTTGTAGCCCTGGATACTATTTGACTGGAACATCTTGTGTAACCTCATGTCCTAATCCTTTTTTCTCAGATGATTCTAGTAATAAATGTGAAGTTTGTAGCTATTTTTGTGAGCAGTGTACCACCAAAAAAACTTGTGATTTTTGTGCTTACGGTTATATTTAAACTAAAGATCCAAATAATTGCTTAGGAGAATATTTTTTAAGGACTAATCAAACAAAGAAACTGACTTTGGAATTTAATAGGAATGCCCTACCTGAGAATAGTGACTTGGGTGAATTGACAATGGAGATTTGGTTTAAATCCAAAAATATTGAAAGCAGCTACACTGAAGTCATTGTTGGATTGTCACCTTACAAGATAAAGAAGAAGCCTGGCTGGACGGAGATATATCTTCACTATTAAGGAATGCTATCATATTGTGAAACAACATAAACTCCGCTCTAGTCAAATGTATGGTATCATTTTGCATTTACTCTGAATGAAATTACTCTCAAATTATACTGCTATCTTGACGGTTAACCAGTAAGCATTGGGACTAATCCTGGATCTTTGATAGCCAAAAAGATCTCCAATCCAAGTGAAATGGTTATTGGTGGAACTAATGATAATCTTGGTTTTGAAAATAATTTTGATGGGTGGACTAGAGAATTCAGATTGTGGAACGTCTCTAGAACTCCCTTTGAAATAAATAACTTCAAAAATATAGATGTGAGCTAATAGAAATCCAAACTTGTAGCTTACTGGAAATTAAATGAAAAGAATGATGGTTCAATAACTACTTTTACAGATTATTCCTACCTAGGAAATCCATCTTATGACCCTGCACCAATGAATTCTATTAAAAAATTGATTGATTACATGGATTTCAGAGAAGTTTTCCTTATGATATGTCCCGAGAGCTACTATGTAAAATTTTATGAAAGATATGGTATTTACTAATGCCTAAAATGCAACCCTCTATGTTTGAATTGTATTGGACCTACCTCTAATGATTGTATCTAGTGCTAAAGTCCTTTGAAACTACTGGAAGAATTATACACTTGCGCTATAATAAGTAAATGCCCTGAAGGTTATTACCAAGATTACAAGTCAGGTTAGTGCTTACCATGCAATCCCTATTGTAAGCACTGTGAAATAGGGCCTAATAACTGCCAGGCTTGCAAGGTTGGTTTCTTTTAATAATATTTAGGCAAGAGTTGTGTTGATTAATGTCCTGATGGAATGTATGGCAACTACGAAAAATAGTAATGCTATTTTTATCCCATAATAAAGTATGTGAATCCTGTAGATGGATCTGCATTTTAGTATGGTAGTTTTATCGAATTGACTTCTGATTTCCTGATGTTAAATAAAGAGCCAAATAATACATATTATTATGGCTGGAGAGTTATTAGAGAAACGGGATCGCTTGATATAACTAATGATGCAATAAAAACTTACTACCAGACTAACTTAACAAAGGTGCATATTGACAATAATATAATTAAAGCAAATAATATCTACTAAGTCATCTTTTACGTCAAGGGAAATGATACTTATTACAAAGACATGTATATAGAGGTAAATAATGGACTATACATTGGGACTCCACCTAGGAATGGTAAATGTGTGATAACACCTCTAATAGGTATAGCTACAGTCACTAAGTTTCAAATGAAATAATCCTCCTGGGTTGATTTTGAATAACTAATAAGATACGATTTTTCCTACTCAATGGATGGCGGATAAGTTTATATACCACTATCATCAACAAATCCCCAGCTTCCAAATTTAAACTACACCTTCCCTCCAATATATGATAAATATTTTGAAGTTAAAATAAAATGTGTAGTAACAAACATCAGAGGGTTCTCGAATCAAGCCCTAAGTACAATAACCTTAGAGAAGAGATCTACAGCTGATGTAAATGGAGACCTAGAAAAGCTAAATCCTCTTCAAATTACTGACGAAGTGCAATACATTTAAGTGATGAATCAAATCAAATTAATCACAAGATTCCTAGGCTCATTACCATAAATCTAACCTAACTAATTTGATCCAAAAATAGATCCACTGTACTGTACTTCATAGCAATGCAATTTTAAAGGTGATTGTATTTTTTAGACTTTCACTAAAAAGTACTATTGCAATTGCACAGAGCCATACGCTGGTACAAATTGCACTTATAATAACCAAACTTAGCTAGGATTGATTAAAGATATCAGTGAGAAACTATCTATAGGCTATAGTAAATTGTAAAATAAAGCTTATGAACTTGAGTTCCTAAAGTTGACCACATCCTATATTGAGTAGTTAAGCGATATTTCATTTGGTGTAATTGTATCTATTATGAAATTCAAAATGCTTAATTGGGAAGGCAACTAATAAAGTGATGAGGAATTAATGAATTACATGACAATTATTTCAAATCTTATAGAATATACCTAGACTGATCTATTAAAAACTAATATAACTAAATCTTGGGGAAATGATTCTACAAAAGCTTAAAATATTTTTGATAACACATAATAGGCTCTTGAACTATTTGATTTTGTTAGGCATCTTTCACTAAACAGAATAAGTAGCTTGCAACCTATCAATAACTTTAAGACAAGAATGATAGCATATAGATAGCAACTGATAAATCAAGAATCCTTAATTTCAATAGATGCTTCTAATTTAACAAAGAAAAGCGAAAAAATAATGCTAAAAATATCACCTAATAATTTTAATGAAGTCAATCTTCCTCTCGAAGATGATTTTATAGTTGAAGTTATTGAGTATTCATTCAATCCGTTTGAAGTTAATAATACATAAAATATTGCAGGCAATATATTCTAAGCAAGTTTCTTTAACAACTCAGACAAGGCTAAAGCATAAATATCTGGCCTTAAAACAGGACTGGAGTTTTTCTTTCCATTTTAAGATAATCAAAACGTATCAGATTTTATGTCAGAATATAACTCACTGAGTCCTTATAAGGCTAAATAGTAATATAAAAGGCTAAAGATGCTGAAAAATAGTAACTTAACTTGTGTTTATTGGAGTGGAAATAAATGGACTTCTGATGGATGTGAATTGTCTGGTATAGATCTTACACACATAAGATGCTAATGTAGTCATTTGACTGCCTTTGCTCCGAGATTCTAAACTCCAAAAGATGAATCGATAGGTGGACCTGCCCTACCTGATCAATATTAATCTTCTTTAGAAGAGAAAAATGATAAGATAACGAAAGAAGATCTCATGGTCCCATTAGACATTTATTTTAAGAACTTAGAGGAGCTTTTATAGCATAAATAGCCTGTTCCAATAGAATTTATATTTAAGCCAGGCCCATATGTCGTCATAATATTTTGGGCCATGTACATTACTAGTTTACTATATTATGCAGGTAGAGATAAATAACGTAGATATAAAATGACTAAGGCCCAGAACAGAGAAGACCTCGCTGAGATTAAAGATTAAGATGTTTAGCTTTTGGATGAGGTAATAAAAGAAATCATTGTTAAGGATGTTTTTCTTAAAACTTAATAACAATTAGATCATACTGCAGAGGATAGAAGGCTACTTAATGAATCATCCTTTGATATTACCTTGCGAGATAAAATGAGTGGTATCTAACAAAAATTCAATTTGGAAATGATTGATTAAGATTAGCAGCATGAAGATTTGTTTAATGAAAGTAGCAACAATAATCAGTAATTGAGGATTCCTTTAGAGTTTGTAGAGTAATCTTTGCAGTTACAATAGCAATAATAAAGCAAGCTTTACAAGAATTTTGAGGATTTCACAAAAGATGAGTAAAAGGATATTAAAAAAAGAGCAAGGAAGAAGATATTTGGCAGATCAGGCTCAACTTGTGAAAGAGCCAAAAAATTCTACAAACGCTCAAAAAAACAAGTAAGTGAAGAGGAAGGATCGGAATAAAAGATGAAATTCTTTAATGAAGCACTTAAAAATAGTCTTTGGTTGGGATTACTTTCGAGGACATCTAAAATTGCACCAAGACATACAAGGTTGACATTAATGTATCTATACTATGCACTCTATTTGCTTTTGACTACCTTTGGATATATCTTTGGTTATTATGAAAAATTGGTTGAAATTATTTAAGAGTAGATGATTAGCTTGGTAGCAGGTGTGATAATAACTTGCATATTCCCTCTGATTATATGTGTACCTGTGGCATTAATATTTAGAGTACCTATGAGTTACAGAAGGACTCTAGAAGGTGTAAAAACTAAAAAGATAAACTAGGCCTTTAAGGAGATTGATAAACAGATGGGTACAAGATATGCTATTGGCTATTTCATTTCATTTTCAGTTTACCTCTTAATGACAGTAGTTGTTATATTCTTCAATTATTTTTACCCTTAAGATTATTGTATGTCTTGGCTTTTTCAAATGGTAATACTGTTTTTCGTTGATATTTTTGGATTTACATTCGGATTTGCTGCATTTTAATTATTTACTTCGCTTTTGGCTGGCAAATTAAAATGCTTTTACTATTTCTGGGCATTTTTCGAAGTTATCAGATATTATAAAAACTTAAGGGGCTGAACTATAAACAAATATGAATCTTAAGATATCAGACTAATTATTCTTTGAACTTAATTTTAGATTTCAGGCATATGAATATAAAAATGTAATAAATGATTTAAAACATTTCATTGCAATAATTAATATCTTAAAATATATTTTTCCTCACGGGGTTTTGGGGTTTTGGGGTTTTGGGG